AATGGATTAAAGACCTAAATGTAACGCCAGACACTATCAAACTCTTAGAGGAAAACATAGGCAGAACACTCTTTGACATAAATCACAGCAAGATCTTTTTTGACCCACTTCCTAGAGTAACGAAAATAAAAACAAAAATAAACGAATGGGACCTAATGAAACTTAAAAGCTTTTGCACAGCAAAGTAAACCATAAACAAGACAAAAAGACAACCCTCAGTATGGGAGAAACTATTTGCAAATGAAGCAACAGACGAGATTAATCTCCACAATTTACAAGCAGCTCAGTATCAAAAAAACAAACAATCCAATCAAAAAATAGGCAGAAGACCTAAACAGACATTTCTCCAAAGAAGACATACAGATGGCCAACAAACACATGAAAAGATGCTCAACATAGCTAATTATTGGAAAAATGCAAATCAAAACTACAGTGAGGTATCACCTCACACCAGTCAGAATGGCCATCATCAAAAAATCTACAAACAATAAATGATGGAGAGGGTGTGGAGAAAAGGGAACACTCCTACACTGTTGGTGGGAATGTAAATTGTTACAGGCACTATGGAGAACAATATGGAGGTTCCTCAAAAAACTAAAAATAGAGCTACCATATGATCCAGCAATTGCACTCCTGGGCATAAATCTGGAGAAAACCAAAACTCGAAAAGATATTTACATGCACCAAATGTTCACTGGAGCAGTATTTACAATAACCAGGACATGGAAGCGACCTAAATATCCATCAACAGATGAATGGATAAAGAAGATGTGGTACATATATACAATGGAATATTACTCAGCCATAAAAAAGAATCAAATAATGCCATTTGCAGCAACATGAATAGACCTAAAGATTACCATACTAAGTAAGCCAGACAGACAAATATCATATGGTATCACTTATATGTGAAATCTAAAAAATGATACAAACTTATTTACAAAACAGAAACAGACTTAGAAAACAAACTTATGGCTACCAAAGGGGAAAGGTGGGAGGAGAGAGATAAATTAGGAGGTTGGGGAAGAAAAAAAGGAAAAACAGAAATGGTAAAAATTCATCAAATTCCTCAACAACAGTAACACAGGAAGCTAATCAATTCAGCAAAAAAATACACCTCTGTTGTTTCACTTTCATCATGCTTGTTAATGTAAGCAAAAATAGCAACCAGCGTTTATGTTAAAACAGTACCTGTTCCTCAGTGAGGGGAGCAACTTCTTTGCTGAATTGGACAGCCATCAAGTGCTTATTGGTAGCTTAATTTTGCCAAATAATGGCATAGGTCAGATATGGATAAATAAGTTCAGCAAAGTTCAAATTGATGAAAACCTCTTAGGGAAAAATCCTGATGTAAACAAAATGCAAGAAAATTCTGTAATAGTCAACCTTATGGTCCATATTTTGAGGAAAATACAGAAATTTATTTATTTATTTACGGCCACACAGCATGGCTTGTGGGGTTTTAGTTCCCTGACCAGGGATCGAACTCAGGCCCTTGGCAGTGAGAGCACAGAGCCCTAACTACTGGACCATCAGGGAATTCCCCAGAAAATAATTTATAACCAGAAATAAACGGTAACTAGAGCTCATCAATGAATTTGGTAAAGTTGCAGGATACAAAATTAATAAACAGAAATCTGTTGCATTTCTATACACTAACAACAAAAGATCAGAAAGAGAAATTAAGGAAACAATCCCATTTACCACTGCATTGGTGGTGGGAATGTAAAATGGTTCAGCAACTGTGAAAAACAGTTTTGCAAGGCCTCAAAAAGTTAAACATAAAATTAGCATATGATCCAGCAATTTTGCAACTAATAACTAAAAAATATATAGTAAAAGAAACAAGGGAATCAAAATGGTATACTAGAAAATAACTATCTAATAAAAAAAAGAAGGCAGTAATGGAAAAATTGAGAAATAAGGTATAAGACATGTAGGAAAAAAAACAGCAAAATGGCAGAAGTACCTCCCTATGAGCAAGCACGTTAAACGTAAATGAATTAAACTCTCCAATTAAAAGGCAGAGATTGGCAGAATGGATTTAAAAAATGACCCAGCTGTAGGCTTTCTACAAGAAACTCACTTTAAGTCCAAAGATACATATAAGTTAGGTGTGAAAGGATGGAAAAAGATATTCCCTGCAAACAGTAACCAAAGAGAGCTGGAGTGGCCAGACAAAAGAGACTTTAAGACAAATACTGTTACAAGAGACAAAGAAGGACACTGTATAATAATAAAAGGGTCAGTCCATTAAGAAGATATAACAATTATAGGGAATTCCCTGGCGGTGCGGTGGTTAGGACTTGGTGTTTTCACTGCCATGGCCTGGGTTCAATTCCTGATCAGGGAACTAAGATCCCGAAAGCCAAAAAAAGCAAAAAGAAGATATAACAATTATAAATATATAGAGACCTAACAACAAAGCCCTAAAATATATAAAGCAAAAACTGATAAAATTAAAGAAAGAGGACTTTCCTGGTGGCATAGTGGTTAAGAATCCACCTGCCAATGCTGGGGACATGGGTTTGAGCTCTGGTCAAGGAAGATCCCACATGCCTTGGAGCAACTAAGCCTGTGCATCACATCTACTGAGCCTGAGCTCTAGAGCCCGCGAGCCAAAACTACTGAAGCCCGCATGCCTAGAGCCTGTGCTCCTCAACAAGAGAAGCCACCGCAATGAGAAGCCCACGCACCTCAATGAAGAGTAGTCCCCACTTGCTGCAACTAGAGAAGGCCCGCGTGCAGCAAAGGAGACCCAATGCAGCCAAAAATTAATTAATTATTTTTAAAAATAAATTTTTTTTTAAATCAAAGAAAGAAACAAGACAGTTCTACAGTAATAACTGGCAATTTCAAACAGCTCATATTCAATGATGGATATAACTGGACAAAAGATAAACAAGGAAAGAAAAAACTTAACAACACTATAAATCAACTAGAAATAGCAGATCTATACATACAACACTCCACTCAACAGCAGACTACACATTCTTCTCAAGTGCACATGGAACGTCCTCCTGCATAGACCAGATGTTAGGTCACAAGATAAGTCTCAAATTTATAAAGATGGAATCATTGTTATCTTCTCTGACCAGAATGGAATAAAATTAGAAACCAACAAAAGGACATTTGAAAAATTCACAAATATGTGGAAATCAAACAACACACTCTTTTTTTTTTTTTTTTTTTGCGGTACGTGGGCCTCTCACTGTTGTGGCCTCTCCCGTTGCGGAGCACAGGCTCTGGACGCGCAGGCTCAGAGGCCATGGCTCATGGGCCCAGCCGCTCCGCGGCATGTGGGATCTTCCTGGACCGGGGCACGAACCCGTGTCCCCTGCATCGGCAGGCGGACTCTCAACAACTGCGCCACCAGGGAAGCCCAACACACTCTTAAATAAACAAAGAGTCAAAGAACTCAAAATGGAAATTTGAATGTACTTAAAGATAAATGAATATTAAAAAATAATATACCAAAATTTATGGGATACAGTAAAAGCAGTGCTCAGAGGAGAATGTATAGCTCTAAACAACTATATTTTTTAAAAAAAGGGAATTTCCTGGCAGTCCAGCAGTTAGGACTGCACACTCTCATTGCCAAGGGCCTGGATTCAATCCCTGGTTGGGGAACTAAGATTCCACAAGCCACATGGTGCAGCAAATAAATAAATAAATGGTTTCTTAAAAAGAAATAAAGATCTCAAACCAATATCCTAAAATTCTACTTAAAAGAACCAGAAAAAGAAGAGCAAACTAATCCCAAATAAAGTAGAAGAAAGTAATGAAAATTAAAGTGGAAATAATCAAAATAGACAAGAGACAAACAATTGGAAAAATCACTGAAATCAAAAGTTGATTCTTTGAGGGACTTCCCTGGTGGTGCAGTGGTTAAGAATCTGACTGCCAGTTCAGGGGACACAGGTTCAAGCCCTAGTCTGGGAAGATCCCACATGCCGTGGAGCAACTAAGCCCATGCGCCACAACTACTGAGCCTGCATGCCACAACTACTGAAGCCCACGTGCCCAGAGCCCGTGCTCCACAGCAAGAGGAGCCAGCGCAATGAGAAGCCCACGCACTGCAACGAAGAGTAGCCCCTGCTCGCCACAACTAGAGAAAGCCCGCGCGGCTATGAAGGACCCAACGCAGCCAAAAATAAAATTAATTAATTAATTAGTTTTTTAAAAAAGAGAGAGATTTTTAAAAAAAAGAAAAAGAAAAAAAGTTGATTCTTTGAAACGATCAACAAAATTGACAAGCCTTTAACTAAAGTGACTAAGAAAAAGAGAGAAGGTGCAAATCACTCCAGTCAGGAATCAAAGTAAGGACATTACTACTAATCTTATAGAAATAAAAAACAAAGAGAATATAATGAACATTTGTATGCCAAAAAATCAGATAACCTAGATGAAATGGACAAACTCATTGAAAGACACAAACTACCAAAACTGACTGAAGACACAGAAAATCTGAATAGATTTATAACAAGAGATTGGATCAGTAATCAAAAGCTTTTCAACAAAGAAAAAATCAGGACCAGATGGCTTCACCAGTGAATTCTATAAAATGTTTAAAGAATTTACACCAATTTTTCTCAAAGTATTCTGAAAAGTAGAGAAGGGAACTTCCTAACTCATTTTATGAAGCCAATATTACACTGATACCAAAGCCAGACAAAGACATCACCAGCAAAGAAAACCACAGACCAATTACAGATGTAAAAATCCTCAATAAAATACTAGGAAACTGAATCTTGTAGTATATTAAAAGGATTATATATCATGATCAAGCAGGATTTATCCTAGGAATGCAAAGGTGGTTTAATATGAAAATCAATCAATGAAACACACCAGATTAATAGGATGGGCGAAAAAAGCCACATAATCGTCTCAGTTGATTCCGAAAAAGCATCTGACAAAACCCAACACCTTTCATGATAAAAACAATCAACTAATCAGGAATAAAAGAGAGCCTCCTCAACCTGATAAACATTGAGCCATACCTTTGAGTGTTCTGAAAGGAAGTCTGGAAGCAGATAAACTTGTGCCAGTAGCTCTGTGTAGTCACGACAACGAAAATAATAAATATGGGAAAGAATATTTTCAAGAGTGAAATCCTGCAAAGCTTTTGGGTGCTCTGAAATAAACAACAAAACAATTTTAAAATAGTTTTACCTGTCATTTCACAAACTATCATTTCATAATTCCTGACCTCTTATTTTCACCTTTTCCACTGTTTCCTTACATACTAGACTAAAAATTTAGACACATACACAACTAGAGTTTTAATGTCTATCTTTTCATATTTCTAGTTATTGGCTTCCATTGAATAGAAGTAACACAATGGAACTTCTTTCTTGTTTTTTTCATAAGACTCCAAATTAAAAGTTAAAAGGAAAAATGTTGAAAAGCAGCATATTTTTCCCTTAAATGCCACAGTATAATTTGGTATTTAAGTAGAAACAATGATATAAAATTCTCTCCTTAGATTTGTTTTTTTAAAAATAACCAGATTGGTTCTGGACATATTTCAGAGAGAAACAAGTTAAAAATCATTGCATTTAAAAATGTACTTAAGTTTTAATGCTGAAAGAAAAACCAAGAAATTAAATTTCAGAAAATATTTCCTATTACAAATATACATTTAACCAGTTCATTTTTAACCAAAAAACAACAGCTTAATCACACACCACTCATTAAAAACTATATTCCAGTGCTACATCCACAATATTTACAAGATCTTAAGACACTATTACAAATTACACCTGTGACATGGATAGCTTACAGGACTTTCAATAGATATACTGGTCATTGGTTAAAAAGGACACCTAGTACTACAATGAAAATAAAAATATTCAGCTGATTATACTCATTTAAAGGGAATACAAACATCTTAGGAAAAGCTTTATGTTTTTTAACATTTCTAGAAAAAATGCACATCCAAAAAATAAAATACAATAAAGCAAAAGAAAAGCAAAAGAAAACAGTCAAACCAGAAACCATTTAATTTTATGAGTAACTGAAGGACAAGAACTAGAAAACAAATTACCTTAAAAAAAACTTTTTTAATCTAACACTTTATTTCCACATAATAAGCGCAGAAAAACTTCCCAACACTTTTAACAATACAATTAACATAGTTGTGAAGTCAATTACATACTACTCAGAGCCACATGAGGTCAATCAGCCTAATTTTCCAAACATTTCCAGACATGATTTTTCAAGGCCACACTTGGTTTTTGGAAAAACCAGTATGAAAGTCAATATACACTAATGCATTGACACAACATTTAATACTCACAGTAAGGTGTCCAGTAACATTAGCTAACACCTGGCAGGCCAGAGCATGATGATTTGAAGTCATACATTGAAATATAGGTTTGTCCCAGAGCTCCTGCAGTAAAAAGTGAGGGCCATAAAAGGGGACAAAAAGGCCAGCCCAGGTGTAGCATTTCTCAATTCGTAAGAGAAGTATGAGAGTTTAATACTAGTACACGGTCATTAAGCTTCACGTTCCAAATGGTCTCTTGCTTGAGATGGATACAAATGAAAATTACTTTTATTATACAGAAAAAAGAGCACTTGCCAACTTACCTTCTCCCATATGTGTTCCTGCTATAAGCTGCAGGTGCTGAATGCAGGCATTAGCAAGGTCTACCACTCTATCAACCATAAAACTCCCCTCTGTATCAATAAAAACTGCTTCACCTTCCACTCCTCCAAAACATTCTGGTATCTGCACATCTACTGCCAACTGCATACTGTCAAGAGAAAGAACTGAAATGACCAAATCATTATCATGATCATCTAAGGCAGTGTTTTTCAAACTCCAAATCACAACCCATTAGATACCACTAAATATTTTATAGGTATAAATATACTCTGCAAAGTAACAGAGATGGTTGACTCTCCACGGCTCCAAACATATGTGAATCAATTGATGAATGGATTAGGGGGAGGGTGTGCCTATAAAACCACAATTAAGGACTCTTTAGTGGTTTTTAGGCTTCTGGGAATGGAACCCTTTATTATACAAAAATCTACTTTCAAACATTTGGCTTTCAAATATATTCTCAGGAATTAATTCTATAATAAAGTAGAAGACTGCTTATTGACCCCACTGACCACCATATACTGTTGCAAAAGAAACACTTTTGAATATCAAAATAATTGTATCAATTTACCAAGATGGGGTGAAGTAAGGCAAATGTTGATTTGTTTGATGCACACATACAGACACACAAAATTAAGAGCATATACATGCCTTTTTTGGTCTCCTAACTGTATACCCACAACACAATACTCTGTTACTTACATAAATGTAAGAGAACATTTTATTTTACCATAATTGTGTTTTTCCAACACCTGGTGCACCACAAATTTCTGTTGTTTTGGTTAAGGGTATGCCACCCCCAAGAATATTATCTAGTGCTGAACAGAAGGTAATTATGAAACTCTGGGTATGCTCCTGCTCAAGAAGTTCCAGTGCTGTGCACTTCTTGCCTGACTCAGCTGTACCAGAATAACTTGTTTTATTTGTGAGACATTCTCTTCTTATAATTTGCAGAGTTTCTAAGGCTTCCTCTTTAGATATCCCAACTTCTGAAAGTAAGAAACAGAAACAAAAACATCTGATTTTAGAAATTTAAAAGTCATATGTTATTGAGTTGTCTTCATTAACTTTAATTTTTAAATAACAAGAATGACGCCAAGAGTACAGAAACATAAAAATGTAACATTCGATTAACTATTTAATTTTTCAAGTTAATAAAGGCATTTATCTATATTTTCTTAGTCTTCACATACTTAAAAGATTTATCTATTACCTCAGAAACAGAATTGAGAAACCTAAGCCTCTAAAGCATTTCTGAGTACCTACAAGAGTATCTATCTCAGAAGGTAGAAATGAAAATGTCCTTTTTTTTTTCCTTTTGGTCCTTTTACTATCTCTTTGGTCTTTTACTATCTCTTTTGGTCTTATGAAGCCATAATAAACTTGCTCTCATAAGGTGTACAAATTATTTTTTAGAAAAGAATGAAAAATGGCCTCTTTAACTGCCTAAAATAAGATGCAGATTTAAGAAGTGCATGTGCATGTATTATTCATGAAAACATTGGAATGAAAATTTCATGGATCACTGCAAACTATTTAATAAGAAAAATTATTTGATGCACCAATAGCTTAAACAATACACTTATGCTTCCTCAACTATACAATTTCATTCCTGACAACATGGCCTAAGAAGTAAAATGGAAATTACAAAACAAGCTGCTTATGGAAGAAATAATGGAGAGGATATCACTTATGAGTTTGATATATCAGTGCTTGATTGGGTAAGGATATGAACTATAAATTTGGTGCTAACAAAAGACATTAATGGTCCTAAGGAAATGAAAATTCCATCCAATTTAAGAGCCTTAACTCGTCTGATTACTTCGGTTTCTCATTCCTGACCGCACCACTTACTATGTAGTTACTACGCATGGGCAAGTTACTTCTTTATGCCTCAGACTTTTCTTCTACAAAATGGGAATGAAACAACACACATAAAAACCTTGGTAGAACACTAAGCCCATCCAAAATGCTTAATAATTGTTAGCTACTATTATCATTCAGATTCTCTCATTTCTTTTTTGTAAAACCAACCTGTTGAATGAAAATGAGCCCATCAAACTTTGGGGGATACAGTCTTTGGCATAAGACTTAAGACAAATAGTTAACATTGGCTTTACAACATTTGTTCTTGAGTGGAGAGTTGAAACCTTATTTTCAATCGTTAAGGGAAATGCCTTAAAATTCTGTTCTATCTTAATAACACAGTTCTGGGCATACTGTAGTGTAATGTGCACAGTGAGAGTGACTGCAGACAGCTTCATTTTTGTGTACCTCAGAAGGAAGTGGTTCCCACCAACATATAATCTACAGTGTTCTGGAATGTGAGTTTGGGGTTTTTTTTTTTCAGTGAATTACATTAACAGAAGCGATGTCTTCTTTCTACTGCTTTCTCCAGGTTCTGGGGATTCTACTCCCTTTGTCACTCTTAATTTACCTCATCCTATCACGAACAGTGCATTTCTTAAATTTAATCCCTGCCCCTTGGATTTTGTAACAGCGAAAATTAGCCTGTCTGGATTTCAATCCTGCCTCCACAACTTCCTAGCCCACTCATAATGAAAAGTTACTTAGCCTCCCAAGCATCAGTTCCTTCATCTATATACTGAACATAATAGTCCACGTTAAAAGGGTTCCTTTGAGTATAAATGAGATAATCCTCAGAGGCTTCAGCAGCCACTGGCAGAGAAAGCAACTGGTGAATGTTTCCAAGACCACAGTTCTAACCATTCAAACCACACTTAAGTGGAGTCAAGGAGCTATTTCACGGTGTAAACGCGGCGGTGGGCGGCGGCAAAATCTGGCCGAGAACGGGGATGGAGGCGGCCCCGACAGCGGCCAGAGTGCCTCAGCTTGTAATGGGAGTCCGTTACCTTTGCTGAGCTCGGAGGGTTTCACCTCTAGGAGTTCCTCAGCAGTCTGGAAACCTGCAGACACCAGCTTCACCCTCACCGCTGGGGACAGGGGCAAACTCACTAAATCCCGCTGCATTTCAAAGCCGAACACCTACGCCCGTAGTTGCGCAGACGCAGAAGCGGCCAAGCCCGCGCACGCGCACCCGCCACGCCGCGTGACGTCAGACGTAAGGCGGAAGGGTGGGGTCCGCGGCGTGGCTGCACGCGGCCTTGGGCTTTGGGGCTCTGCGGCTCTGCGGCTGTGCGGAAGTCTGGTCACTCTTACATACGTTGCCCCGTTTCCATCGTGATTCTTCCAAATCCCATTTAAAGTTTGCATATCAAACGTACATCCTGACAATAAAAAGATGGATGGAGACCGCAAGATGCAAAGCCAGGCCCAGTGGGTCTTACCACATTTCCTCACCTCCACCCTGACCTGTTGGGTGGAGGCCTCAGGGTTGTTAGTAGGAATGATCTCCCCGAATGGGAGCTAAGATACGCACAGACACTGGCATGTTACCGGTTTGGGGTACGGAACAGTCGTATAAAGAATACTCTCCATTCTCGTAATGGGTTCCAGGGTCTTGGGTCTTCCTGCCGGATGTCCCCCTTGCTAGGCCCCCTCACCTTTCCCGCCCTCGCTCTCGCGAGGGATTGTGGGACAGCCCCCCAGAGCCTCAGGGCGCGGTCGGCGCCGAATCGCCGCAGCCACCCACGTCTTGCCGCGCGCGAGTCGAGTCTGGAGCGTGATGGTTTGAGACCGTTAGTTCTTCACGGCCTGCCTAGAAGTAGCTGGATAAGTAAGCAAGTATAGTCCCCATAGTGGGCTGGGCGTGGGCTCCTCCGGTCCTTGAGCGGGAGGAGTTGGGCTACGCCAGAGCTCCTATTCTGGTACTGAGTTAGCAAGGGACCACTTGTAAAATAGAGAATTTGGGGGGGAATTGAGAGGCGGTTTGGAAGGTGGCTTGTGAAGTCTTTCCTTGCCCAGGAGAGTATAATTTAAGGGAGAAACTCATTCCGTTCCTTTAGGCGACGATTCTTAGCCTTGACCTTTCTTCCTAGCTTAAAGGAACTCCCTAAATATTGCAAATCAGAGCCCTTTAAGTACATAAGCTCTAAGGAAGGAAATGTGCTGACCGCTTTAGCAAATCCTACACATTTCCAATGCCCACAGCCATGCCGCAAGGAGCATAAGGACATGGAATCTCAGAGCAGTTTTTTTGAAACCAAAGTTAAAACCTAGTACCCTTTTTTCTTCCCTGAGCTACCTCCAAATTGTGAGGTAGCTCTTGGAGTGGGGGTGGGGGAAAATTCTAGAAGTATGTGACCCCCATTTGATAGGGCAGGAAAAGTCTCGTAGGACTAGTCAAAATGTGGTTTATTTGCCACTTTGTACGTTGCTTATCTTCTAGTGTGTTACACATCTGGACATACAGGTAACATTACATAAATGTTTTCCACTGGGAGAATTCATGCTTATACTTATCAAGTAACCAGGGTCCTGGGTGAAGAAGAGATGGTGTTAACATACTCAGGGATAGCTCTTCAGGTCGTTCAGTGAAACGCAGTGGAATCGGTCGTGTTAGAATTTTGTTTCATTAGCAGTGGGGAGTTAAACTAGTCGACTCTATCTGTAGTTATACTGTTACGCATCATTAATATCTTATCCTGACCCTTGAGTTGCTATAATAATTATTGTTTTCATCATCATTCTTAAGATATCTTTAATGCAGTTTGCTCTATAATCAGGCTTTCAAACTGGGATCCAGTTTTATGAGGTCAGGCGCCAGGAAATAATGCTGTGGGATTTTTACGGAAGGTGCACCTTCCTATACTGTCAGGTTTTCTCAAATATTTCTTTAGAGAGGGAAGAATTGAATGAGTGGTGAGTGGTGAGCCATTTAAAACATTTTCTGTTAAACAAGCAATATATTGTAGAGTAAAATGCAACTATAAATTTTAAGATAAACATAATTGTTTGAAGAAAGATCCAGTTTAAACTGGATATTTCAGTAGTCTCCCAGATTTTCCTGCGAGTATGTTATTGTTTTCCTTTGCAATTTAGGGTTACTTGATTTTGAGAAGTACTGTTATGGGGAAACTAGCATGAGCTTTGGAGTCATACAAATTTGGGTTTGTATCACATCTTGGGAAATAACCAACTGTGAAACTTTCAGCAAGTTACTCAGTTTCTTCGCCTGCAAATGGAAGATAGTATTTCTTCCATTAGGGGTTGTAAGAAAGATTAAATGAACAAATATGAAGTGTTTAGCACAGAAAAGGTACATAATAAATCTTAAGTTTTTTCTCCACTTAAAAATATTATAATATGTATATTCAGTCGAATAAAGCCTTATTGAACACCTAGCTCAGAGTGCCAATGCTATGAGCCTTTAAAAGGAAAACAATGCCTACAGTTGTAAAGTGCCAAAGAAAAGTGCTTTTACGTATTTTATTTTATTTGACTTGATCCTTATAGTAATCCTGTGAACAGTTTACCCAGGTCCCAATTTAAAACTAGCACATTGAAGATTGGATCACTTAAGCAACATTAAATATTTAACCACTAGTTTTGTGCAGGGTGACAGGACTAACAAAAGAATCTATGCCCTCATGGAGCCTTAGTCAATCAGGATTATTATTGAGGTGTGTTGCCTTTCTGACTTGTGTTGTAATCTAGATACAATACTAAGGGTAGGCGTGAGTTACCGATATGCTGTCAATATCTATAATTAAGTATTCAAATAAGGACACATTTTCATGCTGAGTGGGCTATTTTCTAGAGCTGTGGGAGAGGAATAATGTGAATATTTCTGTTATAGCTGAGAAGTTTATTTTCTTTTAGCATAAGAACATAGAACTTTTAAAACTGGTGACCTTGCGTGTTCAAGTGCATTTGAGAATGGGAAAGATAAATGAGTGCTGTTTGGACTAAGAAAAAACCTCTGAATCAAGGTTTAGCTTTAGAGATGGTTGTGATAAAGCTTAAGGCCTCAAACATGTATATTTGGAATAGCAATATCAATTTCACAAGGCCTTGTACATAATGGGAGCTCAAAATATTTGTTGTCCCCAAACTCTTAGACATTGTTCTCACTTGACTTCTGTGATGCCACATCTCTGATTTCATTCCTAGGCATCTGGCTTTTCTGACTCGCTTACAATTTTATCCTCCATAACCAGGGCATGAAATGTTACTGTAAGGCCCCATAGCTGACCTTTCACTGACTATCCAGTTCTGTTGTCTCCTCTCCTTTCTGGTTCTTTCATTCTCTCTCTGTCTCTCTTATTCACATTCACAGTTCAGTGACTATACACCAATAATTTGTAAATTTATTTTTCTAGCTCTAACCTGTTCTCTGACCTGCAGATGCAAATATCTAATTGCATACAGCACAGTGCTAAATCTCTAACTCAGCCTATCTTAAACCTCACTCATTATCTTCAGCCCAGCCCAAAATCTTTTTGTCCTCTTCCTGCGTTCCCTACCTCCGTGAACTGAATATCCATCCTTCCATCTGCACAAACCAGAAACCTAGGAATCTTCCACACCTCCTTCCCTTTAAGTCTCCATGTTCACTATAACCGCAAACCCTATCAATTTTCTCTCTAAAATATCTCGATCATGTCCATGTCTCTTTTTCTAGGCCAAGCTGTCACCATTTCTCTCTTTTTTGTTTTTTGAAGATTTTTTTTATGTGGACCATTTTCAAATTCTTTATTGAATTTGTTACAGTACGGCTTCTGTTTTATGTTTTGGTTTTTTGGCTGTGAGGCACGTGGGATCTTAGTTACCTGACCAGGGGTCAGGGATCAAACCCACACCCCCTGCATTAGAAGGTGAAGTCTAACCACTAGACCTCCAGGGAAGTCCCCACCATTTCTCTTATAGGTACTGCAAGAGCCTTTTAGCAGGTCTCTCTGCATCTTGTCTTCCCCTTCCCTCTAGTCTGTTCTCCCATGCTGCAGACAGGGTCCTTTCTAGAGTATATTTCATTTCCTATAACTCTCTATTTTGCTCTTGGGATAAAGACCAAATTTCTTAATAAGACTTACAAAACGTCTTGCATGTTCTGGCTCCTGTTTACCTCTTTAGTTGCATCCTTTCCCTCTCCCCTTTACTCTTTTTTTTTTAAATCTATCTATCTATCTATCTATTTATTTATTTATTTATTTTGGCTGCCCCGGGTCTTAGTTGCAGCATGCAGTCTTCTTAGTTGCGGCATGCATGCAGGATCTAGTTCCCCAACCAGGAATCGAACCTGTGCCCCCTGCATTGGGAGTGTGGAATCTCACCCACTGGACCACCAGGGAAGTCCTGTCTCACCTTTACTCTTTACACTCCAGCCACTCTGGTCTTAATTCCATGTGTGTGCCACAACATGCCTCTCTGCTTCACCCAATTAACTACTATTTATTTATCCTTCAAATCTCAGCATTCATTGACCTCTTCTCTGACTCTGAACCTCTACCTCCAACAAGCCCCCTTGAAACTAGGTCAGATCTCCCCTTTAAGGCTCTCATAACACCAGATGTCTTTGTGTGATCAGTTATTTAGCATATGTCTACCCAACTAGAATGAAAGATTCAGTAGAACAGGGACCATGTGGATTTTACTCGTTTTCCTAGAGCCCCTAGCCCAGTGTATGGCTTGTAGGAGGTGCTCAGTATGTGTTTGTTAAAAGAATGGATGATTAGGTGATTGACCTCTCTCATTTTTTGTTGTTTTGTACTCTTAAGTAGGTGGGAAATATATACGAGTAGGAAGTAGAAAACAAATAAAATACCAAAAATACAAAGAATATAAAACTGATTTATAGACCTTTTCTTTTTTATTTTATTTTGTTATTTAAAATTTTTTTAATTGAAGTATAATTGATTTACAATGTTTTAGGTATATAGCAAAGTGATTCAGTTATACATATATATATATTTTTTCAGATTCTTTTCATTATACACTATTATAAGATATTGAATATACTTCCCTGTGCTCTACAATAGGGCCTTGTTGTTTATCTAGTTTATTTATAGTAGTGTTTATCTGTTAATCCCAAATTCCTAATTTAACCCCCTGCCCTTTTCCCTTTGATAACCATAAATTTGTTTTCTATGTCTGTGAGTCTGTTTCTGTTTTTGTAAATAAGT